GCCCCTGGAGATGAGACCGACCACAGCGGTATCGTCGGCATACTTGATGATCCGGTTGTGGATTGGTTTACAATCGTGGGTGTAAAGGCAGAAGAGGAGGGGGCTCAGCACGCCACCCTGTGGGGAGCCGATGCTCAGCGTGCGGGTGGAGGAGAGGTGGGGGCCAACTCTCACAGCCTGGGGTCGGTCGGTCAGGAAGTTGTTAATCCAGGCACATGTGAGAGGGGGGAGTCCAAGGGAGCCCAGTTTGATGATGAGTCTGTCCGGGAGAATGGTGTTAAAGGCCGAGCTGTAATCCACAGCTGTTGACAAGTTTTTGCGAGATCCGTCTCATGAGGGGTTGGAGCGCTGCATGCGTGAACAATTGTTAAAGATCGCTGAACATTTTAAATTGGAGGTCAGTGATAAGTGGTCTAAGGAGAGTATTAAAGCTATCATTAAAGCTAATCTCACTGACTCAGGTGTGTTTAGGACTAGCTAATTTGCAGGCTACTGGGACATGGTTGGACACTGAGGTTTTTGACACTAGCTTGACTGTTGAACATAAGCGGGAGCTGCTTTTGCTGCAGGCTGGCATAGAACAGAAAAGATTATGTGAAAAAAATTTGAGTTGGAAGAACGTAGATTGATTTTAATTATTGAGGGCCACGTTGCCCTTGATGCTTCCGATAGGCAAACTTCTAGCTCGTTTGATGTTGGCAATAATCTGTGTTTAATTCCTCAGTTTTCTGAATGGGATCTGGATACATTCTTCTCCCTGTTTGAGCATATTGCTGATAGTAGAGGCTGGTCTGAGTCGGACCGGACACTGCTTTTACAGTGTGTGTTCACAGGCAAAGCAAAAGAAGCATACGCTGCTCTTTCAGTGGATGACAGTAGGCTTTATGCCACTGTGAAGAAGGCTGTTTTAACAGCTTATGAGTTAGTACCAGAGGCTTAGCGACAGAGGTTTCAGACATGGCAGAAGGATGGTGAACAAACCCATGTTGAGTTTGGATGGATGGATTTCAGGTGGGCATGTTTATTTGGATCAGACTGACATATGTCATTATTGCAAAGCCAGGTGCCATTGGAAGCGTGAACGCCCTAAATGGGGTGCTCAAGTGAAATCTACTGCTTATGCTGACTCTGAAAAACATGCTGGTTTTGTTTCCTCTAAGCTAGTGTAAGTAGGACGGAAGTACACTTTGGACAAGGACGATTTTTCACCTTTTGTTTCTGAAGGCCATGTGTCCATAGTGGGGGGTGAAGCTACAGTGCTGTAAAGTAAAGAGTTTGAGAGATGTTGGTGCTTTTAATTCATATATTATGAGCTCTGTATTACCCTTTTCTGAGGAAACCAATACTGGCGACCATGTTTTGATGCGGGGAATGGGACTTTTGGTGGAACCACTTCCACTGCATAGATTTACATTGACAGGTGGATTGGTTCAGGGAGAGGTTATTATTGGGGTGCCATTTGCACTTCCTCTCGAGGGGGTGGATTTAATCTTAGGCAATGATCTTGCTGGTGGCCGGGTTTGGGCCGATTGTCCGCTACCTGCACCCATAGTAACTTTTTACCCTGTTTTTGGGAAGATGGATGAGAGTGCAGATTTTTTTTCCCTGGGGTTTTTACAGCTTGTGCAGTGACACGAGCTATGCACCATGCTGAATCTGCATCTGTTCCTGACCATGAAGGTGGGGGAGCAGAGGAA